CCCCTAGCAGCTGCTCCGCGGGAGAAGCTCGGGCGCCTTGCTGTGCTGCTCCGGCTCACTTTCATAGACCCGCAACTGGAGAAATAGCCGGGTTAACGGCCGTGAGCGGGAGGGCTGCCTGTAAATGCTTCGGGTTTATGCGCTCTCCCGTTCAGCCGTGCGGGGCAGGACGCTGCCGGCCCCGCTCACCTGTGGCTCCCTCGGTGCGAGCCCTGCCGTCACACCGGGCGGCCGAGGGCCTGCTTCTTCCAAACCCACGTCAGGTCTAAGCTTGAAGGGTTTATAGAGTTTGTTTTAACACACTTTGCATGTATGGTTTTTTTTTCCCCACCGTGCATTTGCAGCTCGGTAATTGAGCCGACTTTCTGAAAAGCACATCTGCAAGCTCAATGCTTTAGCGTGTTTGAAAGGCATACTTCTAAGTTCTGCATTTTGATGTGGTGTAAGAGCACAGTTGTAACCCGAAGAGCTTATATTTTAATAACGTGCCTATAGATTTATGAAGAAAACCTTATTCCTACTGATAATTTCCAGTGTAAACGCACTTTAAAAAGAGTAAATTGTAAAGGTCCTCCTTTGAAATATGCTTTATTTCAAGTGGAAGCGGCAGGAAGGAAAAGCGCAGTTGTGGATGCAGTTGGTGCCTCAGCGCGAGCATTTGCGTGGCCTTGTGGGGCTGCAGCGCTGCCCTGTGCTGGCCACGGCTCTGCCGCGTCCTTGTGAGGTCATCGGCTGTGGGTGCCGGCGGCTAGGAAAGACCGGGAAAAAGACGCATGAAAAAGGTGGAATGACAAAACCAGAAGATACAATTGGCAGTGGGCATAAGTCTGGGTATTAATTTTAATGCATTTAACGCAGGGTTCAGAATTTACCCTTGAAATAGAAAAGATCCTTCTAGAGAGCAGTACTGGCTCTCTGACAGGTGTGCTGGTAGAAGGGGTCATTACTAAACTTTTAGTCTGATGTTTATTAAACTTTGTAATGTGCCTGCCTTTCAGGTGTGGCATTCTTGACTATGTGATGGTACAACATCCTTTGTTCACACAGAGAGTATAAAGAATGGTTTTGTAATGATGGGAGATCTGTGTTTGCTTTCATTTCCATACTAGATATGCAAGATGTCTTCAACTGTTTTTACTCAAAGCAGCTGAGAAGAACTGGAATTCAAGATGAGAACCAACAAGGTGTACAAGCTCGTCATACATAAGAAGGGTTTTGGAGGCAGTGGTCAGTATCTCCTGGTTGATAAGTGAGACCAGAACTCTCTTAATTGAAAGCAATTAACTGATTTATTGATCTTTTTAACAAAACAGTGAAGATGGAACTTCAGTGAGAAGCAGTATTACCAGCCAGAGTTTGGAGATCTCTTTTTTTAATAGCAAGACACAGCAGAATAAAATTGCATTCGTCAGAACAGAATGAGATCGCACCTATAAAATAAAATTGCTTTATTCTACCTTTCCACCTTTTGTTGTGTCACTTTTTGTTTTAAACTTGTATTTCAGTCACTCTTAATAAGTGACACGGACAAGTCAGTGGCTTGTGACTGCGTGTAGATGTGTTTCTGTGTACTAAGAGAAATGTCATTTATTTGATTGTTCCCTACTTCTAGACTTAAAATCATACCATGTTAATAAAGCTTGTTAAGATTCTATAGCTATCTACTTTCCTGTTGGTGCTTGTTATATGAAAAATACAGAAGAAGATTCTGCTTGCCTAATTAAGGCACACCCTTTTGCTGAACAAAGCTTTTGTGAAAGTTCTGTGATTTGAAAGAGAAGGTTTTGCCCACAAGAGTGGCCAGACTGAAGTGGCTGGTTGGGAGCACTGTCACGTGGTGAATATAATGCATTGCTGACATGTTGATTCTGGGCTAGCGTATTAATGTAGAGTAAGCTATTGCATACGAACATGCAGTCATCTTGTGTTTGGTATATATCTGTTCACTGTGGTTTTCCTCATTTGTTCATGTCTTGTAGATGATGAACTGGTGGTGAATCCTAAAGTATTTCTTCAAATCAAGCTGGGAGATGTTGTGGAAATTGCACATCCCAATGATGAATACAGGTGAATTCTCTTCTTGCTGATATTGGTCAGGTGTGGTTAGAGCACTGAAAAGGCATGTTCATGTGCAGTGGCTTCTAGAGTGAGAAGCTCTTAGAGCTGATACAACTTTGCTTCAGGATGCTGCTGCGTTTTTTTTTTTTTTCTGCCTGAAGAAAAGCAAATGGCATAACTATAGCAGGAGCTCTTCCTTGAATTTTGTGGAATTCTTTGTGTTTGGTGTTAGTTTGCTCACCTTTCATAGGGCAAGTAACACCTGAATATGGAGTCTATCATGTCTTTATCCTCTTCATAGAGCTGCTGTTACCTGATTATTGCTGATTATTCTTCCATTCTATAGTATATCCCACGCAAAATTAAAACTTCCTGGTTGTCTATAAAAACATGAACTTTCTTATATGAAGCTGTTCATCCTGCAGCCTGTATCTGAAAAGTAGGAGTATACTTGTATGAGGTTCTGAGAAATTCCTTTGTGACTTACTTTCCCATTTTAGAGTATCATCTTTACCTAAAGAGTACTTTATAATAGGTATAAAGCTCACTGCAGGGGTGTTGGGCTAGATGACCTCTAAAGGTCCCTTCCAACCCAAAGCGTTCTATGATTCTATAAAGAACAAGGCAGGGTGACAGGCAGAGAGGATGACGTGAAGTTTTCTAGTAAATATTGAAGTTTCTCTTTCGCTTATCCCATGCTCCATGTTGCTAAATAGTTTTGAGAGAGTGATTTACCAGAGTAGACTGTTGGTATCTCAATTTGTCTACCTTTTTTCTTTTTTGTATGCTAGTCCCCTGCTTCTACAAGTGAAGTCACTTAAGGAAGATTTGCAGAAAGGTAAAACTCCAGACTCATAGTATGCATAGTAAAATCACAGTCAAAGATTATGTGATTGGTCTGTGCCTATGATTGACTAATGCACATATTTTAACTTTGTAAGAAAATCAATGCTTTGTCTATTTAGGAATGGAAGGATTATAATTTTATGAGAAAATTAATAGCCAATTTAAAATCTGCTTTTGTTTGAGTAATGTGGGGTATGGTTTAAAGCAAATTGGCTTTTTAGCCTTAAATTTTTGTTTCTGCATTCTGCCTGGTTGTATAGCTTTTCTTCTTGCTGGAATTAATTCAGCATAAACTTTGAGTTTATCTTGCCTACTTTGATTTTAATGACTCTTAAATGGGGCAACAGCTGAAAGAAGCTGTTATCTTTTGCTGAAGCCCTAAGTGTTTCATGGCAATCTCACTGTATTGCTTTTGTACTTGTAAACCACTTGAAACCTTTTGGGGATGTTCACTTCTCTGTTGTCCTTTCTCATTTTTGTGGCAGAAACTATAAGTGTGGATCAGACAGTTGCACAAGTGTTCCGACTGCGGCCATACCAGGATGTCCATGTGAATGTTGTTGACCCAAAGGTGTGTGGCTTTGCAACTTTTTTCCATCTGTCCCTTCACTTAGCTCAAATCAAAGCCCTGTGAATTTCCATCTACAGTGGTATTGGGAAAAAAAGGCATTTATATTTTATTGGAAGGTATTTAGCCTTCGTTCCTAAGAAAATGAGGCTTGGGCAATTGAACTATTTGTTTGTTTGTTATTTGTCTCTTTCTTCTGTCCCTACCATCCCTCCTCTCTTTTTGAAGTCTATGGACCAGTTTCAACACAGCTTGATAGAAATTTAGAAATGTCAAATATTTTTAAGTTCTAGAAATTCAAGGTAACCAGGCAGAGTAAAGTGAAACAGTAAGTGTCACAGTCAAAAGAAGAACTATGGCATGAATTTGCATTACTTGACACCAGAGAGCCTTGTAAGAGAGGCATCTCTTGTAAGTGTCCTAGGTATCAAAGGAGCTTCAGTTGGAGCTTGCATTCAGCACAAGACAAAAATCTGCAGGAAACGAGGCTTCCTTAATGTATGAACAATGGAAGTAATTTGTTTTGCTTCTGCTTCCAGTTTGCACTGAGACTTGTATCACAGATTTAGTTCTTGGGCTTTTTCTGGTTACATTGTGCAGTGTCTTGCAGCTCACAGTAGTTCCAGTTATGTGCACAACTTTGGTGGTTATTCTGGTGGGACTTCCCTTTTATCGTGCATCTGTTAGGAATATTGACTTGATTTAGAACGGCCCTCTCTGTAACATTTGGTTCTTAACAGAACAGATTGAAGGGTGCTACTTAGAAACAACAAGTAAAACCTAAGCACTGTTTTTCTTCCGTTTCCCAGGAGGTGACATTGGACTTGGTGGAGCTGACCTTTAAAGATCAGTATATTGGGCGTGGGGATATGTGGCGACTGAAGAAAAGTTTGGTAAGGCCTCTACTGTCCTTATGTGTAGGGTGGAGGAGATTACATACCTTTTTCTTTGCTTGCTGTAAAAGAAAATAAAAGTTTTACAAAATATAGAAAACTGAGGACGAGACCAGTGTCAGCAGCTCCTGAGGAGCTTATGCTGTAAGTGGTACATCAGAGTTGGAGAAACGTGTTGCAGGAAAAAATGATCTCATCATTTCCTACTCCGTTGCAGTAACGTTAATTACTAATGTTGAGGGTTTTTTCTTACATTCTGAAAGTTAATGGTTTACTACATTTGGAAGGAATTGAATCCAAATGTTTTTCAAGTAGAAGTATGCTAAAGTATCCCCTCTCCGATAGTACCACTTAATAAGCAACTATTAGAATATTTTGTTTCTGCATCTCTGAAGTGCAGTCTTGGCTCTTCTAAGTGCAGTGAATTAGGCAAATGAACCCAATAAAACTTCATATGTGTTAAAAACTATTTTCTGGTGTCTGTTGCAGAGGTTCTGTAGGCTGAGATATTAGTAGTGAATATGCTCAGTGGTTTTCGTGATTTTATGGCAGAAGTCAGGTGTTTGAGCATGAATGTTGGGGGTTTTTTTTGTGAAATGGTCTGCTTACTCTGAGCCTGCTGTTCTTTTAACACCTGTAACTATTCTTTCTTAGGTCAGCACATGTGCGTATGTCACCCAAAAAGTTGAATTTGCGGGTATCAGGTCAGTGCCCCCTCTGAGGGCTTACTGTTACTTATTACTTTAGATGAGTCCAGAGTATCCAGTTGGAGAATCTTCTCTGAAAAAACCTTCACATTTTATTGTTCTCTTACTCTTCTACAGATTTATGTCCGCACCACAGGGTGGGGGGAAGGCTTCTATCTGATTTGGGGTGGAAGAAGCTAATAGTAGGACAGCCAGCCACACTTGTTGCCTCTGATGAATGCCAAATAATTTTCCTTTCATGTCTCATAATGTTTTCCCCCCTTCCCAATATGTATTAATAGTTCAGATGAGGGTTACTTCAGGTGCTGTTGAGGTAACAAAGGGACAAGGAATGTGCAGATGCAGAGGGAAATGGCTCTTTGACATCTTTTGGATTAAAGATCAGGTTTTAACCAAATAAACTTCTACTCTGTCTTCAAGTCATCCTTGAATGCAGATTTTGGTACATCCCTTATTTGCTCAAATATTGATTCTCTCATCTTCTGGTTAGCAAATATTCTGCACTTCTTTTCTTCCAGGGCACAGGCAGGTGAACTGTGGGTAAAGAGTGAGAAAGTCACTTGCGGATACATCAGTGAGGACACCCGGGTAAGATTTCAGGGAACAGGGGAGAGGAAGTTTTTCCCTTCCTTTCCTTGCTGGGTTTCTTGTAATTCTGTCTTGCTTGCAGATTTGTACAGGTCATTTGAACTGGCTGTGTTGTAAGGTGAAGAATGGCAATAAATTCAGGCGAATGAATGATTAATAAACTTCAATTTTTCTGCGCTGGCAGCCCTAGGAATTACTCGGGCTGTTGAAATGCCAACACATTAAAGGGAAAATTCCCTATGATGCAGTGGGCACAGCCATATGAGTTGCTCTGTAGTTAACTTCTGCATTTGGCCCTTTTAGTGAAGGTACGTTGTTTTAAATAGGATCTTTTATTCCTTTGCAGGTGGTCTTCCGTTCGACTTCTGCCATGGTTTATATTTTTATCCAGATGAGCTGTGAAATGTGGGATTTTGATATTTATGGTATGTAGGTAACTGACCTGCCTGATTGTGAATGTGGATGGTAGCAGCTATCCTTTCTGCCCCTACTAGAAAACTGCCATTACTATTTCTTTCTGCCACTAATAGCAATCTAAAATATCCTGCTTTTGGCCTAGGCAGTGCTCTGAGGTGCACTATGGCACCCTCTTAGATCCTTACTTGCAGTGCCATGCTTTTCTGTCTCCTGTGTATTTCATAATTTTCCTGTCTCTACTGTAGGGCCTGGGTACCATTATCTCAGTGATGAAATCAAGGGGGCCAACTGACTGAACCTTGGAAAGGTTTTCTGTGGATATAAGCATGTTTGGTGATGAGGGCAGGTGCAAGCCTGTGTGAATCCTGAAACCAGAAATGTATGGAAGTCCTGTACAAAGAGAACCTTGATGTTTCAGATTTCTCTTGACTTTGGCTTAGCGAGGAAGCAAAAACCCTGCCTTAGCCCAGGTAGAGTCAGCTAGAAGTATTAAAATTTTAGGCATTAAGAATGAGTCACTTATCTGTGTCATTGTCCTATTTTTATGCTGGCTTAATTCTTTAGCCAGACTCTTACTACTTCCTTTGACCATGTGTTTAGGCATATGTAACTGGGCAACTATTCAAAACTGAGCAGGGGATCAGTTGTGCATACTATGCCTGAAAGATAGTACAGATGCTTTCCCAGCATGTTGCGAATGTGTTGGAAAAATGAATTTAAAGGTCAGATCCTTTTGACAGTAAGAGTGCGTTGTTTACATCCCCTGAAAGAGTCATGTTTTTTGATCGTTTTATCATCTTTGCTTTAGTGATTTTAGCATTCATTATGCACACAGCTACTCTTGATTCTGATAAAAATAATTGTCCTAGAATCTCAGGGTTAAATATATCCCATAGTTGAAGTAACTGCTGTTATGTGATGCTTTGGAGATGCTTACTTTGCAGGGGACCTATACTTTGAGAAAGCTGTGAACGGTTTTCTTGCTGACCTCTTCACAAAATGGAAGGTAAATAGCTGCTTGAGTCCATTCTGTTCTGAAAGAACAAGATAATGCCATCTTAATGAGCCCATTGATGTGCCAGTTTGAAGAAGACCCAGGTTGTGTCAGGCAGTGCTAAGATTTACAGGACTGTGAGAGGTGGCTCCTGGGCATCAAAAGAGTCATTACTGCAGATCTGCGTTAAATCGTATATGCGCCAAGTGATCCCAGTGCTGATCTGCTCTATCTGCTGTGTTTGTATCATACAATTTGTTTGTGTGGAGGCTCTGACTGGACTGAAGTCACTAAACGTGTGATACGGTTGTTTGTGCTTGTGCAGTAATGCACAAGTCTGTTTTACACAATTTTATTTGTTCTAGGACTCAGTTCTAGTTCCCTGGTACAGCGAGTAATCTGTTTAGTGCTGCTATCTTTTAGCATGAGGGGGTTCCAGGTTGTAGTATATGGGCCACTGATGATGTGCAAGCTTCTTGAAAGTGAGCTGCTTCAAAAACCAACAAAGCCTCACTACCTTTTATGGCTGAATGACCCAGAGCTGTCTCCTGTCTCCGTGTGTGATCTGGCTCAGCCAGGTGCAACTGCTGTTAGCAGTCCTGCAGCAGACTTCCACTGACTTAAGAGAGAACCATATCAGTACTCAAAAAAGGCATATATAAAATCTGCAACTTAAATTGAAAGAATAGCAGGACAAGGTAAAAGAATCTGAAATCCTGAATGTATAACATCTATGCATAGTACAGCTCTTGATGGTCCTGAATATCAAGGAAAGCAGGAGCATGCCCAACAGATTTGTCTCATTTTCATTGTGCTTTTTGTCCATTGGAGAGTTATTAGGAGCCCTACATGACATGTCTGCAAAATGCCTGCTTTGCTTTTAGTACTACTATATCATGTTGGATATGGGCCTGAGTGATGCCAGGGCTCATGGGGCTTTTCAAGCTTTTCCTTTCGAGGGGATGGCCAGTGCACTCTTCACAGCTTAATTCCATTGCATGCATTAGCACTGTAACTGTTCGGTGAAGTTTTTAATTTTTTATTTCTCTGGAATTGTTAGGGGCATCTCTCTAAACAGTAACAAATAAGAATATCAAATTGCTGTGAGTATGTATGAACAAATTGAGTCATCTGTCTTTATTTTTTAAACAAAAATCTTGTATCTTGGCAACTATAGAGAGGAGTTTCTTTAGACACTAGTGGAGAGTGCTCCTGTTAAATGTGATATAGCCTAGAAGCACAGAATCTACAGGACAGACCATTATATTATTTCATAGACGCATATGCAACACTCATGTAGATATATTAATACAGCAGACTACCTTTTTCTAGTTACCTTTGATCCTAGGTGTGAGGGGAAAGAGGGTGTTAATATGTGTGTATATACACAGTTTTCTACTGAATGTGACCCTTAAGGTTTTCATCTGTTCTTCTGGACAGGAGAAGAATTGCAGCCATGAAGTGACAGTGGTTCTATTTTCTAGAACATTTTATGAAGCAAAATCTATGGGTATGTAAATTCTGTATTTTCATGTTTCTGTTTTTAAACCTATCTCCTTCTCTCTTGAAAGTTGGTTACAGGCTGCCAGTGACTTTTTTCCCCTATTTTTTTATGCCCAAGTGTCCCCTACCAAGCACAGTGGATACACAGCCATTCTTATGAAAGGACTGCAGTGAAAACCTTGCATAGAAGAATATATGGCAAATTTTCCTCATCATGCTCAAGCTGTCATACTGTTTTAAAAGCAATTTTAATAGTGTAGGAGATCTTATATTTGTCAAAGTTTTTTTCTTTTTTAATGGAAATAACAGCTACTTACTAGAAAAGATGAGTCATTTCTGTACAAGAGCATAGGATAATACATGCTTTTGCTTCTGTTTCAGATGAGTTTCCTGAAACGCATCGTGCATCAATTCAGCAAAAGATTCTATGAAGATTTTTACAAGTATGTCTTCCTCCCTGTTCTTTCACCTCTTGTCCCACAGTGTATGTGCAACTTGCGTGGAGAATATCATGTTGTTAACTATAGGATCTTGCAAGGAATTAAGATAGTGAAAAACAGTCTGAAACTGGCAGCAAGTTGATGAGTAGTCCCCATTCCATCTGTGAGTGCACACCCATATTTGCTAAGCCAGTCTTCCACGTGCATGTGAATACTGTGTTGTCTGTGCTCTGTTGGAATTGTCAGTAAGCTTAAAAAGTTCTGTAGTGTTGGGAGTAGTTTTTGCATAAGGCTTGGCTATTGTTGAAATCTTTACATTCTTGAGTAGTTGAAGAACAGATGGTGTCATTGCCGAAACCACAAGTGTTCCCAGTTAGGTACTGGAGCTCTTTGGCTGATGGTCGCAACAGATGCAGCTGTCAAAGCTGTCATTTGATTCTGAACTTGGACTTGTTAACAGTCTTACTACTTTGCAGAACAGTGATGCTATTTGACATATAATGTTGATCACCCATTTAGAAGTGAGAGTTTATTCTGGCTGGGGATGTGCCCAGCTTTGTGTGTGCATCCACACCTTAGTGATTGCTTACAAGTATGCAGTAGTTCTAACATGCTGCCTAGCAGAAGGAAGAAACATTCACCTTTTTGTGCGTTGCTTTTTCTATAGCTTCCCACTTCCTCTTCATAGCTTCCTTTCATGATCCTCATTAAATTGTGCTCTTTCTAGAGTTGTAGTTCAGAATGAGAGACGAGAAGAGTGGACCTCATTGCTTGTGACCATTAAAAAGCTTTTCATCCAGTATCCTGTGTTGGTACGACTAGAGCAAGCAGGTACAAGAATCCTCCTTTCCCATGCTTTTACCCTTTTCTCTCTCTCTTTTTTTCTTTTGAAAGTTGTCTGTAAAGTCTCTAGTTTCAGTAGGAGTCTGGTATTGTACTACTTAGTGCTCTCCTGGCTATCCTATTTTGCTTGAGTTATTCAGTGACATATACCAATACCAATTTTGCCTGTATTTTGTTGGAGTGATAGGATTTACTACAAAAGCGGTTTTATTTTGTTGTTGGTTTTTTTTTTAAAAAAACTAGTCTATACAGAGATGATAATTTTTTTTTTTTTTTTCTCCTTCCTTCTGAACACTTGTCCAGAGGGCTTTCCTCCAGGTTCCAATTCTACCTCAGCACAGGGGAACTACCTAGAGGCCATAAATCTTTCATTCAATGGTAAGTTACGAACAACGGATAAAAATGTACAGGGGAGGAACTGTTAAAGCAGCTGCCAATAAATGGGTGTGGACTTCTGTTGCCTGTTCCTTAACACTGTGAAGAGGAGGGGAATATTAGGTGGTTAAATGGTCATTTGCAGCCTCAGAAGAGATTTTCTTGTGTGTGTCTGGAAAACCAGTGGCTCTCAAGTAACTGAGTATTGGGTATTTCAGGCTTCAGGCCCCCATTTACGGGGCCTTGTTAGGATGAAACTTTTTCTTCTAGCTGTGTATCTGTATGATAACCTCTTGAAATAGAAGTTGAAATTTTGAATTATGGAAGCATTTCAAAATCAGGTTAGATCAAATGTGGTTTAGGTGAAGCTGACCCATCTTTTTTAGCAGGAAGGTGGATTTGATGGGCTGGAAAGGCTCTTCAAGGATCTGCTTTTTGTGATTCTGTACATCAGGTGTTGGAAGTTCTGTCACCTTAATGACTGTCTTTTTACTCCTATGGGAGGGAGCACAGGATGTTATTTAAAATGATTAGTGATGGACTTTACCTTGTTGGGGTTTTTTTGGGTTGGTTTGTTGGTTTGGGGTTTTTTTTGAGATGTTATAAAGGAAACACTAAGCATATGAGAAAAATATTCCTTTTTATGTATCTGGTTCCCATCTTTTCTCCTATTCTGCCCTAACTCCTCTCTCTCCTGTAGCTTTATTAACATTTACAGGTTGGACAAGGCTGTATGCAAGCTCTCATGCTTGCATGTGCTTTGTGGAAACTTGTTTAATACCACTGTTAATAGAGAGTCACCTCCCTTGCTCTGAAAAAAAAAACTATCCAGCATCTTTTTTTCTTTTAAGTATTTCCTAATTCATTCTTCTAGTGTTTGACAAGCATTACATAAACCGGAACTTTGATCGGACTGGCCAGATGTCTGTGGTTATCACACCTGGTGTGGGTGTATTTGAAGTTGATCGACTCCTTATGATTCTAACCAAACAGCGGATGATAGACAATGGTAAATAATGATACTGTGCAGTCTTTATGAAGGCAAACAGATATGTTTGGAAAAGCTCTACCTTTTTCTTGCTCTGAAAAAGTATCTATTGTAACTTGTGTACTCTGGAAACAAGGGTTATAGCTGGAAGACTTGTGTCCACACTTCATATTGAAATAGGCAGATTTGCAGAGAACTTATAGGTGTTTAATTTCTTTTGTTTGTGATAGACAACTTCATCTGTCCATGCAGACCTTAAAGGGTAATCTTGCATGACTTGCATTAGTTTCGAAGAAACATTCCTTATATCCTCAGTAAACTAAACCACACTGTTGGTTTGTAACCATACCATGGGACCGTTAACTACCATTTTCAGTATAATTACATATTAACGTCTGACATGAGTACAAATTGGGCCTTCAGCTCAAACTGGTGATCTGTTTTGGCTTAGCGTATCAGTCCTGCTTGGTAGATAGCTGAACTCTGCTCTTCTTTGTTTACAGGGATAGGTGTGGACTTGGTATGCATGGGAGAACAACCATTGCATGCTGTACCACTCTTTAAGGTAATGCATGCTTCTTTTCCCTTCTTTCTGCTCCTACTAGAAATGTTACTCATTTTGTGACTAGCTAGACACAACTAGTTTCTATGCTTCTGAATTACTCTTACAGCTCCATAATCGCTGTGGACCTGGTGACTCCAGGCTGGGTGATGACTACAATATTCCACACTGGATAAACCATAGGTAGGTTAACTCTATCAGCCTTTGCTAAACACTTCTGCTTCGCTTTCCTCTTTATAATCTTTTGAATTCTCTTTCTTCTTTCATTGTTTATTTCCTCTCCTCTCCTTGCAAAGCAAAGATATATATTATAATAGTCTTGCAGAACTCATGGCATTAATGCAACTATCTGTCCTGGTTTCAGCTGGGATAGAGTTAATTTTCTTCCTAGTAGCAGGCATAGTGCTGTGTTTTGGATTTAGAATGAGAAGAATGTTGTTAACACACTGATGTTTTAGTTGTTGCTAAGTACTGCTTATGCTAGTCAAGGACTTTTCAACTTCCCATGCTCTGCCAGGGGCACAAGAAACTGGGAGGGGGCACAGCCAGAATAGTTGATCCAAACTGACCAAAGGGCTACTCCATACCATATGACGTCATGCTCAGTATATAAACTGGGGGGGGTTGGCCGGGGAGCAGCTATCGCTGCTTGGGAACTGTCTGGGTATCGGTCGGCGGGTAGTGAGCAATTGCATTGTGTGTCACTTGCTTTGTATATTATTATTATCATTATTATATTGTTATTCTTATCATTACTATTTTACTTTATTTCAGTTATTAAACTGTTCTTATCTCAAGCCAGGATTGCTTCTCACTCTTCCTCCTCCGATTCTCTCCCCCATCCCATCGGGGCAGGGGGAGTGAGCGAGCGGCTGCGTGGTGCTTAGTCACTGGCTGGGGCTAAACCACGACACTATCAGAGATGATTTTGGCAATTTGCAGAGGAAAAGGTCTTGATCTTAAGCTATCTTTCCAGCTTAGTTAGTTCTAGCCTTTAGCTATGCTTGAAGGAAGTCAGGAAGCTAAACAAAAAAATGCAGTCATTTCAACTAGATTGGTTATTAGTGAAAACAAATACATTGCAAATGAACAGCTATAGGTAAAGAAAATGTGGATAACATGGATAAATGTTATAGAATCATAGAATCGTTTAGGTTGGAAAAGAACTTTAAGGTCATCCAGTCCAACCATTAACCTAACATTACGAAGTCCACACTAAACCAGTTAAGGGTGGAGTAGCAATTTCGTTTTTCCTGGCTTGGTGGCTGGATTATTTTTAATGAAAGTAAAAACTAGGAATCATTAAGATTAGAAAGGATCTCTAAGATCATCAGTCCAACCATCAGTCCAGCACCACCATGCCCACTAAACCATGTCCAAAAGTGCCACGTC